CTTCTACCAAGCAACTAATAATTAAAAACTTATTTCAAAGGGAATACCAGTTTAAAAATCAGTCCAAAGTAAACCCGTTGGTGTTCTCAAAGTGGCAGTATTTTGAGATTTTTGCTGAGTCTCACTGAAATCTTCACTCTGAACTAACGACGATCTCGGCGAAAACGACTCATCAGCAAACGGTACACTTTCATCAAACTCTGCAGTTTTTTCAGATAACGACGGCGGAATTAGCGGTGGCTCATCAAAAGAAGTAGGCCTTACTGACTGAGCACTAGTTATTAGTAAAGGTGGCGGTGGTAATGGAGGTGTCGCCGGTGGTGGCGGCAAACTATTCTCTGCAACAGCAGATTCATCTTCTGGCTTAGCAGTTGGTGGTGGAGAAAATTCTGGTACTGGAGGAAAAACTTCCTCGTCACCTATTAGATTGCTGCCATCAATTGTTTCCCTAAAACCTGTCGATCTGCTTTCACTGACACTCTGATCATCTGATACTTTAGGTTCCTCAATGTTAAATTCGTCGTCATTTCTATCTTGAAGGTTTGGTTGGGAAACTGATGACGGGCGTTGCTGCTCAACATCTGGACTGGGCGGCAAGTTAAAACGTACAGGCTGAGTTTGCCGACGCAAATCACCCCTTTTTCCCCTCTTCGCTAAAGAAGACCGTTCGTTACTTGCTGACCTACGTCTCAAGAGATACTCTAGCACGTCACCGGAATCTAAGCTGGTAGGTGATATCGAATGGTCCTGAGAAGAAAAACTACCAGGAGACGGCAAACGTTTACGCTGAACTAAATCAAGAGATTTTCTCCTGTTGAATACATCTGGACTCTTTGACTTTTCGCGAGGTATAGTTGCACTTTCGTTACCAGCAATTGCGTCGGACAGTGCTTGCTTGCCGACTGGATCCTTGAAAGTCGAAAACGGACTGTCTGGTTTACTTTCACCATCTGTAGTAATTTTTCTCACTGTCAAGACATACGGAATATCGCTGTTCAAAAGATGACACTTCTGAATGTCTGGAGCATCTTCACTTTGAATTGCAATAACTGTTGGTCTTTGTGATGGTAGTGATGATGTTCTTGTAGAAGCTTGATGTAGTGAAGAAGACAGTTCTTCATCTTGAAGATTTACGACAGCGTGCGGTGTTGAGGCTGCAGTGGTTTGCGACTGCTGAGCTGCGACCATGTCGCTGAGGTATTTCGGCTTCGGTGGTACAGCAGGTTTCGGCTTTTTGGTGCTATCAGCAGCAATAACGATACTTTCTCTAGTAATTACCTTACCAGGTAATGGACCAGTTGCACCATACGTTTTCGGGGTTGACTGTGGTTGCCCAACTTTTTTCTCGATACTGGAGTGCTTCTTTTTGACACCGGTGTGATCTTTGTCATCACCTTCGTCATATATGACTTTTGGCTTTTGTAGAATGGTACCTCTTGATGTGTAAATTACTTGTGCTTTACTGGTTGAACTGACTAAAGGTGAGATGATTGCTTTTTGTGGGAACTGCTGGAGAGTTTGATAACGTTTGGAAAGATTTTGATCATTTGGCTGATCTTTTGAATGGCTCAGAATTGTTGAGAGTTCAAGACCACCGTCTTGAAATATTGTATCTCCGTGTCTTCTTTTTTCTTCTAGACTTTGGTTTCGCTTTATCGCTCGGTTTTCACCTTTGCCAAAAGTAGGAAGCTCCTTTTGAATAAACAGTGCGCTCGGAGCCGAAGTACTAAATTGTTGCTCAGGAGCTTCAACTTCTGGCTCTTTAGTCTTTCTGAGCAGCGACTCTGTCGTTTTTGTTTCGTGTTCGCTGGTGTCTTGTGTTTGTGGCGTTTTTGGTGTCAAAGAAATGACTTCTGTAGTTTTACAGGCATCAGCGTAAATTGCTTTTCTTACTGACTCACTATCAGTTCGCTTAACTATCGCTTCAAAATAGGTGTCAGCACTTTCTTGTGGCATTTCACTAGGCCTTGATGAGCCACTATGTTGTGAATGTGGTTCATGATCCGAAATTCTATAAGAACCTTCACTAACATTATCCATTTCTTGATTATTTTGTTGCATCTCTAAAAAATTATCACCAGAAATTGACTTTGGCGGACATTCACAACTGAGATCAAGGTCTCTACAGACTAAATGAACGTCTTCACCTAAAACGTCAGGTAAAGAAAGAGAAATTAGTGGATCATGAGACTCTGATTCCTTATTGTTTACTTCTTCAGGTTTTTTATTTAACTGTTTCAAAGACGTATTTTGCTTGTAACGCGAAGGTGTTGTACAATAATGATTGGGCTCAACGTCACTTGAATACATATATTCGCCGTCTGATACTGCACCACTGGAATGTTTTTGACCTAACAAGTGGTTGTGAACCTTGTTTGTCAGCTCAGATCGCGTGGAGCGTAAATTAGATGTTCTTAGTGTACCTGGTTCCGGAAGATAGTGGCTATTTTCATGAAAATATGAACAGCACGGCTGATTGTCAGTAGCATGGCACTTTTGTATATTCGGTACAGCAACAGTTTTTATTGTTCGCTCGCTTACTGTCGCATATCCAGAAGTTACGTAACGTACTGGATTAGAATATAAACCTTGTTGTGAGGATAAACTGGATTTTATTGGCCTAAAATATGCATCGGTCATCAAGAACATCTCACACTGTTCTGTTTATTCCAGGTTAAAAGCCAGAAAAGAATGCCAGCAAAATTTTTTAAAGTGGTTTTATTAGCAAATCGAGGGAAGTGTCGTAGGTATCCAGGAAAGTAAAAGTTTGTTAGAAGTTTAGTTTTATGCTTCTACAAGCGTAAGCGTCTCCTTCACCCAAAATGACTGCGTTCAGACAAAGGCTTTTTTGTCGGAAAAGCATCTGGTTTTTACTTCTTAGGACTGAGAAATTTGTAATTTTATTATGCAGTATTCAAGAATTAGGAATTACATATTTAATTGGATTACCGTGAAAAAGGTTCTCTTCGTTTCCTATGTTCCCTCACATAGTCAATCAGTTGTTTTTGGGTTTTTCCGTGATACCTGCAATTACGGTAAGTATTTTAGTAAAAGAAATTTTTTTGCACATGCATGTGTGTGGACTTAAAACTATTCATTTTCTTTCTCAAATCAAAATTTTCCTCAATCAAATCACTCTAAAAAACTGCTTGTGGTATGTCCAAAGGGTTCTATAAAAAACCTAGATGCTGCAAATAGAATGATTGCAAATTAGAGGATAAGATGCTTGGGTTAGTAAATCGTTTTTTGTTTATTTTTTATCTTTATGGGTAATAAATCACTGAACTTACCGGAAAGATGACCCACGACTAAAAAGTTTGCCTTCTTTGGATTTCTTCGGAACTGTTACTTCCAAACATCGGAAGAAGGCATGATGCTCAACACACTTTTTCCAAAAATTTTTACATTCGTTCCGGTTTTCAAACGAGAATTCAATTGTCTCTTTATAGTATTGCTACAATAATAATATTACGCTTTTTTATAATTGTATACTGCAGTTGGCTATTTACAGGTTTTCGACGATTGCATCTTCTTTACTAGATCTAGTAAATTTAGCTTAGGAGAATATAAAATTCAATTAAAACGCTATAACTTAATTGAGAAAAAAGCAAGTTTCATTAAAGAAAAACTTACGTAGCTTTCGGGATGAAGTTTTATCAGTAGTTTTCGTCGTTTAAATGACAATTTTCGTATTTTTGCCCAAGAAAATGTCGAGACACATTGCATTTGATGAAACACTCGAATACCCATATGAGCGACAGATAGATTAATAACTGTCTCCTCCACGTCCTTCAAAAAAAAAAACGATAAAAACATCCATTTTTGAAAGCACACTAAACATCAAGCTTTTCTTGAGCTTGTCATCAGGAAAAAATGGTTGAATTTGACGGAAAAAAGATTTTTATCTATACGCATTGCCATGCAACTTAGCTAAAATTTGACCAAGAGTATAAATTTTGTGCCTCTGTTTACCAGGGAGGGCGTGAAGATGAGTGCTTTGCTGAAAAATACTGGAGAGAGAAAGGGTGAAAAAATTTGAACCTTTGCTTCATGCAACTTGACTCCATAAAATTCACAGCGTCTTGCGATTTCTAGAAGTGCTAAGTCACTTTCACCAGGTGACATGCCCCTAAAAAAACTAAGCAAGTTGGTGACATTGATCATCGGCAATAAAGGGACTTCTGAGTCTGGTAGGACAAAGCAGTGAACCAGACCACTATATATTCAGATGAGCCTGTTATAAACTTAGTTTCTGCTGTAGTTAATTTGACTGGATGTTAGCTTTTGATGACTATTAATATTCCAGTTGGTTTGAATAAGATATACAGTGAAACATTAAAATGAAAAATTAAAGTGAAACGTATACAATTTTTTATAATCTGTTTTTTCATTACAGTAAATTGCTTGAATTTTCAGCGTTGTTTACTGGTTAGTTTTTGCACTATTTTGATGGATTAAGTAATTAGAAGAAGTAAAGGTGAAAAATTTGTAACTTTTTATCTTTTTATATCTTGCAATCTTCATTTATATCAGTTTATATCATTCATATCTTTAAATTTTTGCTAATTCTTCAAAGTTAAAACTTCATCTTTAGCCTTAGTAAAGTGAGTGCTTAAACATTGGCTCACGCATTTTACAAGCTATAGTCACGCTGTAAATCAAAGGGTAAAGTTGCTGAGAACGTACACAAGACTAGTAAAAGAAGTGGTAAAACTAGATTTAAACGATAAGCTTTTTAGTAATAAAGCTAATACAATTTTAATTCAAACCTCATCTTAATTTCTAATTTGTGACCACCTTTCCTCCTAATAACCATAAATTTCAAGAAAAAAGCTTATTCTTTAATAATCCTTCTCTTCAACGAGGATTATGCAGTGGTTCTTCGAGTACAAGCGAACTACAATAAGAAATAATGGCATAGTGAAAAACTTACATCAGTTTCATGTGATTCTCCCTGACCGTTTTCAGAAAATCAACGGTCTGGTTCGGTATAAATCTACCGCTGTTCAAATAATTATGGTCTGGATAATCTTCGGGGCTGAAGTCGCCACAGTCAGACTGCACAATGTGTGCAGCCATTAGTGCTGCAGTATTGTGATTACATCGAAGCTCCCCGGACGCCAAGTCCTTTCTGATCTGCAGAGCCAGCAGATACCTAGAATAAATGAAGCAGTTTCATCACTCACTATATTTAACTGGCCGTTGTTTTGACTTTGGATATAGAAGGAGCATTAAAACTGTGAAACCTCTCCAATGTTTCAATTTTTTGATATTTTTCAAGTTGTTTTCACTATAGTTCCAAGATAAAAAACGCAATAAAACTGCAATTTCTTTCAAATTCTATTTTCTATGCGATAAAGCTTTGGTGTTTAGTAAAAACCTGGTATATTCCTCCTCAAGATCAGAAGGATTTGGTGTATAAAATTTGACAACAAAAGCGAATCGTGCGTCACTTTGTTTGTTAGTGATCTGGCGTAAAATCGGTTTATCCTTGTCCAACCAGCACTGTAAAGACGAAGCGATTTTTTCTATCTACGTACAAAAGTCAGACACAAAACCAGAAAAAGATAGAATGGAACCAAATGAAAAAATATAAAAAAGAATCAAATAAGACTACCAATTTGAAGTTTTTTCTTTATCTTGTTCAACGACAACAACAGCAAAAACAATGCGTTGGGTAAACGAAGCTTGAACTAGCTTTTAGATGTCATATGCTATCAGTCATAGCATAAGAGAAAAAAAAAGAAGAAGAATAAAATAGCAAGCAAATAAGAACTCACTCGGTTATTGAAACAATCATTGAACTCAAGGCCAAAATAATCAGTTTCCAATAGATTTAGATGCCGACAAACTTCGTTGAACAGTGCTTCGCCAAGTGCCTTATGCTGAAAAGGACCAAAAATTGAGAAAAAGTTCTAAGTAGACAGTTTTTATCAACGACAGCATTAGCTGAAACAGGAAAATATCAAGCACTTGTGCATATTATTACACAGACTAAAACAAAAAACTGCATTTGATCCTTGTAGTTAAGTTTTTAACCGACCAATTGTTGCTCATTTCAGTTAAAAAGAACTTCCAATACTTTTATGTCTTTGTTATTTTTCATCCACTCACTCCTCTTCCCACTTCTCTTCTCCTTCACGTTTTTATTTGGCTCTAGTTACTCTCGCAAATACCTCTCAATACTGTTTTATTACAAGCTTCCAAGGCCATTGCGGACATTATAAATCAGCATTATCTACCTAGCGCTTCAAAATTATGACAATCAGTCGTTCCAAAATTGACAACGTGAAGTCATCTGTTTTTGGGAAAAATCAAAAGCGGAAGTGGTTACGCTGATGCATCGATGCAAATCTGATCGATGCGAGGAAGCCACAATCTTTAAGCAACCCTTCTGTCCTTCTTTCTTGACTATTAATTTTTTTTTGTTACATGTTTAAATTTGTCATAGTAAGGAGCGACCAGCCCGATAATAAAGATTCTTTTTTTTCCCCCTACCTACAGTTGTCTGCTTCTGCTGTCATTAAATATCGCAAAAGCTTCTGAACTTACGAACAGTTTAAAGTAGTGAACAGTTGCTTTTTCCTTTTTATTTTCCTGCTCTTATTTTTGAATAACGGTTTGAACACTTGGGCGAGAAAAGGAACAAAAAAGGCAGTCTTTTAGCTTTCCAAAAATGTTGAATTTGTACCGATCATTAAAAAACTTCATTTCTTCTGTTCCACAATTTTCCTAAATAGTTTTAAAAAACTTCACTTATTTTTTTGCCGTCATTGAAAATTCGCAAATTAAAATGACGAGGACAGCAAAAGGAAAAAGAAACGTAATCACTTCTTTCACCACTAGCAACAGGAAGAAGGATTTGTTAATGGTATATTTTTGATACCGTAAATAGTTAATATTTCAGCCCCTTCCTTTTTCACCAAAGATAATTACTTGCACATCGAGACAATTACTTTTTTTTTTTCAGACGGCAAAGCATATTGAACTGTTTTTTGCTCGATTTGCCCACTGCAGCGGCAGCGGTCGACCACTGTGGTGACCACTGTTGGCACACAGCAAACAAATACAGCTGAATCAAAAACTTTTGCAAAAAAACTACAAAACAGAAAAAGTGAAAAAAAAAGAATGGTAATAAAAGGAAAACTTACTCCTAAATGGAATACTCCAACGGTGTCGTCTAGCATTCGCACTTTGATACACATCAACTTGCCCTTACGCGGATCCATACCTGGTGGTGGAGGAGCCCCCACACCTTTTGGAATCATTTTTGACGATTCCTTATAGGTTAACCTTAAAATACTCCGGTCAGTAACCTCATAAAACTATCTTGACAAAAGCAAAAAATTCTTTTCTCTTTTCTTTTTTTTTTTCTCAATTCTAAAGTCTTCCCTGCAACTGAAGCTTCTCTTTTACTCATTTTTTGAATTTGCAAGTTAAAATAAACCAAATCATCATTGTTATCTTGCTGATAAAAACTTGAAATACAGTGAATTTATTCACTTGATTTTTACAGTAATTTACCACCACAAAGGAATAATGTTGAAAAAGAGAAAAAAAAGGCAAAAAGAGCATATTAAGTTTTAAATTGTAAAAGTAAAAAGCCGAAAAAAACATTTCTGTAGATGTCCTGTTAATTTAGCTTGTATAAAAAAGAGACTATATAACAGAACAAGAGAGAGATATTCATCACCTATCCAGATACAGGTCAGTTTTTTTGCAGTTCATACGGTGTTTTTAAGCTTCCAGTGTATCTGACAAGTCCACATAGTCGAAATTTCTGCATCTACAATATGTGTGCCATTACTTTCAAAGAAAGAGATTGAAGCAAAAGTGAAGAACAAGTAGTAAAACAAAAACAAAAAAAAAAA